CGCGATGTCAGTTTATCCGACGTCAAATAACATTTCCATTTCCAACGTAAACCCAACGTCGATCCGACGTCGAGATCCGACGTCGCTCGACGCTCGTTCGACGTCGAAATGCCCACTGGGATGTTATAAAAATATCATTAAGATAAAACCTTTCCTATTGTTTGGCTTTTTTTTTTGAATAAATTAAGGTGTAGATGTATATAATAGTTCTCTAATTATTTTATTGGTTTAAGATTAAGTTAAGGTTAGCTATTTAATCTACAGCATATCTAAAGCTATGCAAATTACAATATGTGTAGATTTATGAAATATAATTTAAAAATTGAATGAAAATAGAACATGTATGATAAATTGATAGGAGAGTAGTTATTTTTTATTTTTGTTTTTTAGCTATTGGCAGGCTGTACTTAACGACTTAACTTCCTGCAACGAAATTAAAAGAACCTTCAACTACAAGCCAATTTAAAATAGTATTCATGGCAGCATTTTCTAGGAAGAACTTTCCTTTTATTTTCTTAACTAATTAGATTACGTATACTTCATAATTTCTTTAAACTATTTTTAGAGATTGTTTAATGTTTTTACAAAAGTTTAAGTTTAAAAAATTGTTTTACTTAAAATTTGTTTTACTTAAAAAATTGTTTAACTTAAAAAATTGTTTTACTTAAAAATTTAAAAAAATAGATTTTTAGTTTTAATTTTTATTCAGGAGCGGCTCCTGAATAAAAATTAATTTACTTCATTTATGAAAAAAAAAGTTTATTTTTCCGCCAACCCGCCATTTGTAAAAAGGGTAAAAAAGCTTTTCTTTTCGGATCGAAGTTAGACATCTAGTTATATAATATATCATTGGGCTAACAAAAAAGTTTAAAATCGGATTCTGCGAAACTCAAAATTTTTAACCCATCAAAACAGGGATTGATCTCAGGAAATAGCCGTTCGACTATTTCGTGAGATCGTTTTTTCTCCTGAGGAGCCTAATTATAATTGGAGGGTTCGATTTTTGTATAATATCAATTATACAAAAATTGGACCCTCCAATTATAATTATTATAAATATCAATTTGATATTATGTTATTATTGTGAGAAGATATAATTAAAAAATGGAAAAAACGATCTCACGAAATAGTCGAACGGCTATTTCCTGAGATCAATCCCTGTTTTGATGGGTTAAAAATTTTAAGTTTCGCAGAATCCGATTTTAAACTTTTTGTTAGCCCAATGATATATTATATAACTAGATGTCTAACTTCGATCCGAAAAGAAAAGCTTTTTTATCCTTTTTACAAATGACGGGTTGGCGGAAAAATAAACTTTTCTTTTCTTAAATGAAGTAAAATATATATTTTAATTTAAATACTATTTATGTAAAAGTGTTAAGCGGAAACGATAATACTTGTAAAATAATAATTTATGGTTCTTTAATTTATTTTCAATTAAAATGGGATTAAAGTTTTGAATAGAAAAGTGAAAAAAATGTGCTGGTATGGCCGACCGAGCTTTTGAACAAATAAGCCGTGGTTCGATTCCGACCACTTGCGACTTTTTTTTTTTTAATTTTTTTGATTATTTAAAAATACAAAATACTTTTGATGTTTTATAGAGATTATATACGAACATACCTAAAGATATTATACACTTTAACAAACGAAAAAATTTGTAAAAGGCTAAAATTTCTAAAAACATCAAAACACCGGGAGAAAAAATTTGTTGCCTATGTCGCAGGATTGAGATACTTATGTTATTAATGTGCTCAGGTAATTAGTCCTAATAAGCTGAGAATGGTCTGAAAAAAAAAGTTGTCTGAAACTTAATAAAGAAAGAACTTAATAAGAAAGTCCTGCTACTCAAGAAGGTGCTGCTGTGAAGGAAGAAAAAAAAAGCCCATAGCTAGATAAAACTTTAAAACTTACTTTTGACAATTAAAAGTTTATTTTGCTATATTTACTTTTTCACTATAAATATATGGTGCAACTGTTTTTCAAAACGCCCTAATTGATAATATATTAACCGCAAACTATTTTGAAAAATCTTTAAAAAAGGAATTATTAAAACTGATGTTTCTGAATAATAATTTTTTAGCAAAAATGCTAAAAAATTATTATTCTAAATTGCTTACTCAGCACAAACATAACTTAAAACGCGTCTGGGAATTAATGAAAGAAATTACAGGAAAGCAAACAACCTCTTTTCCACTTGCTATAAAAGTTGAAAATAAAATAACTAATGATACTAATGAAATAGCAACAAATTTTTTTTCACTATAGGAGCAAATTTATCAAACAAAATCCCTTTAACAAATTATAAATTAACAGATGAACTTCAAACATCAAACTCCTTAGATTTTACAAACCTAACGCTTGAAGAATTTGATATAGCTTTTAGATCGTTAAAAAGAAATAAATCAGTAGGGCCTGACGGTATAAATGGAATTATTGTGATAGACTCTTATGACGTCATGAAAGATATACTTTACAAAATCTTTAAATCATCCATTAAACAAGGTTCTCTCCCAGACTCTCTGAAAATAGCTAAAGTAATTTCTATTTTTAAAACAGGAGACCCGACCAATATAACAAATTACAGCCCTATTTCTGCTCTTTCAGTTTTTTCAAAAATATTAGAAAGAATAATGTATAACAGAGTGTACACATACCTAATTACCAGTAAACTCTTTTATGAAAATTAGTTCGGTTAAGCAGATAAAACTCTAAGTTGGTACAAAAGTTATCTCTCCAACCGAAAGCAATTTGTTTCTAACGAAGATTCCCAACCTGAAACATTCATGAAAATAACATATAGCGTCCCACAATTGGACGACTTTTTTTTAATATATATAAATGATCTTAACAAAGCATCCAATTTAAAGACTATAATTTTTGCAGACGACACAAACTTGTTTTAGTCACATGAAAATATAAACTTACTTTTTAATAATATGAACAGAAAACTTAAAAAATTTTTATTTTAGTTCAAAAAAAAAAGACTATTTTTTAATATAGAAAAAACAAAATAGATACTTTTTCATCCAAACTATAAAAAAAAGATACTGCCTGTAAATATGCCTGATCTTTTTATAGACAATTTCATCCTAAAAAAAGAAAAAGTGACAAAACTTTTAGGAGTTTTTATTAAAGAAAATTTGTCTTAGAAATCACACATCAATAATATCTCTAATAAAGTTGCAAAAAACATTGAATTCTATACAATTTTAGAAGTATTTTAAACAAAAAGCAATTTACACAATTTTGTTACTCTTTCTCACTGTAATATCAATTATGCAAGTATTATATGGGGAAGAACACATAAAAATGGAGAACACTTAAATCTCGGCATCAGAAACAGGAAGTTCGCATAATAAATTTTGAAAATCGTTTTTCGAGAACCGCTTTTTAAAGAAATGGACGCCTTAAATATTTATCAATTAAAAGTATTTAATGTTTTGTGCTTTATGTACAAATGTAAAGAACTTCTGTCCCCCGATGTTTTTGTAGACCTTTACAAAGTTAAATCGCAAAACAAATATAACCTACGTAATAATAGCAATTAAGAAAAAACTTTTTGGAATAATAAATTTAACATATCATATCGTGGACCTTTTTTCTGGAATGAAATAGTAGGCCTAATTTTGTTTTTTCATTTAAACTGACCTATTCCTTTTTCAAACAATCTATTAAAAGAATTATTTTTTTAACAAAAAATATTTTCAGTTGCTATACTGCATATTGATTTGTTATGTTTTATTTTGAGTTACACTTCTGAAGTATGTAGAGTATTAGATTTATGATATATTAAGTGATGATATATTTTCGGTATGTATTTATTTTATATAGTATATGTATTTATTGCATAAGAAAATAAAGTTTTGTTAAGGGCTTCGTGTTAAGGTCACTACAATCTTCTTGAAGTCTTACCCGTATAATATTATAAATCTTAGTGTAAATAATATTATACGACAAATAAAATAAAAATAATAATTGGTAGAAACTATCACAGATTTTATACTTATAACATAAAAAGATGAAATAAAGATTTTTTCTGAGGGTTATACCTTCCGGACTAAAAAAATGAGACCGCGTATCCTAAACTTTTGTTCGTATTTTTACAAATTTTGGCGAGTCATACAATGACTTTTTTTGTATTTCGTGAAACCCAGTGTTTGATTTATCAGGTGTATATATATTCATCAAAAATTCTGTGTTCATTATTATTTCTGATTTACCTAAAAATATTTATTTTAGAAATGAAGTCGTCAGCGTTGACACATGACATCTTTTTGAGGCGGGTCATAAAGACATAAAGTCTTTGATCGAATTTGATCTGGGATACCTAAGGCAACAGTTGCAAGAAAATATTTAAAGAAAATTAGGTGTTCTTCACACCATTTTACCCTATTTTCTGGTTGAACAGGAGTCAATAGGGTATTGATTTTTGGGAACGAAACTGAAGTACCGATTTCGGTTAAAATAACGAGTAATGGTTCTGGGAGCATCCTTAAGACTGCCTTTTTTAATTAATGCAATTTATCTCTAGCAGATCGTGTCAACTTTTCGAGTTAATTGATTTAATCGTTGTTGGTCCTTTAAATTAAGTTTTCACCATTGTATATTGTATTGGGATTCACCATTGTATTTATATTGGGATTTTAAATCCTATTGAAATTGCGATGAAGCAGTAGTTAAAAAATGCGCATTCGACAACAAGCAACACTAAAATTGAATCGTTTTATTCACGTTGACGTCGTTATACAAAATTATTTATAAGTACGCGCAGTGTAAATAATTCCAACTTTTTTTTTTTTTTGAAAAATAAAAATAGGACCACACTATTACCCCACACTTAATGTATTACAAATAACTTTTAATTATAAAAATTTTCAAGTAACATTGACCAATATTAGAAAAAAATAACCCTGCAGTGTATTGACTTTGTTATGTGGTTTGTAAACTAGATATCTATTGATGTTATATTTGGGGATTATAAAATAAAATAAGAAACATTCACGCATCTATTTTGCTAATTTCACAAGGTAAAAATTTTAAAATTCCATACTAAAATCCATTTCTGAAAATTACAACATACTTAAAGAAACAGCGAATAATTTAGTTTTCTTTCTTTAGATCCGAGTTGTTCTCTAGCCACTGCTTAATATTCGATTATTTTATCAAAATCTCATTCATTCGCCTCAAGAGATGGTCTAAAAAATTAATTTATATTTACAGTTTTCGTGAAACAACTATATATTTATATTTGTGTCCAAGATGCTTAAAAACTATTTTAACTTCAACAAATTTACCTCTTTAACTGTAGATTTGATAAAATCCTTCCTACTTGTGAGATCGAAATCGGGGAAATGATCATAAACCTAAAAAAAATTCATTTCACTATCATAAACCTAAAAAAAATTCATTTCACTCATTAATTTCGAAAGATTAATAATATGTTTTCAATAAAATATGCGTTTCATAGTAAATTTTTAGTGATTCTTTCAATTACAAGATAAAAACCATATTTTAAAAATAATTCCACTGAAAATAGGTTCAAATGAAGCAATAAAGATAATGGAAGTAAAGGAAAGAATTATAGATAAAAATTTTATTCAACGAAATAGAACTGTATGCACAAATTTTCCAGTATTACCTGTTTACAAACTGTTTTCATGGTCACTTCTTCTAAATTAACATCTTTAAGCAAATCCTTTACAACTTTCTTGATATCAGAGTCTGAAGGCTCTTTTTTACTTTTTTTTAATAATGGCATATCTTCATTTTCAGAGTTATCATCAGCTGTACGTTTAGGTACTGTAAAGATAATTTTGTTTACTAATTTTAGATAATAAAAATGATTTTGATAAATAAAAATGACATTAGTAGTAATTATTTATAGAGTTAAACACTCAGATATTATAATAGTACAAAAATATTTTAAAATCGTCAAAAAGTGATTTTTATGTGAAAAATGAGTAATTACTACATAAAATTTTTAAAAGTGAATTTACTTTTTGTCATTTACATTTTGACAAAAAATAAAACAACAACAAACAAATCAACATCGTATTCTGCAGAGAAACAAATTTCTTGTTAGTCGCTTTTTTTAATAATTCGATTTGATTAATGCAAATAATAAATTTCCATTTAATAAAAATAAATTTCTTTACAGAAATAAACAGTAATTTTAAAGTATGTTTTAAATAACTTTTATTTGTAAAGAAAAAAAACAGAATTTTATTTTCTATCAAATTTTGTGCATAAATCGTTTAAAATTAATTTAATTTTAAACGATTTTAAAGTAATATAATAACAAGATCCTTATTATCAACAGATATATTAGGAAATGATACTTAAAAAATCAGACATTTTTGCACTGCTGTAAATATGTCATCAGGAGTTATGTGAGATACTTATTCAAAATAAGTTTACTAAAAAATTTAGTTTAAACGCACCTCTAGCATTGAGAATGTTAACTTTACTTGAGGTAAAAACTGCTTTACTTGAGATAAAAACTGCTTTATCCCTTTCGACTATCAAAGTTACTAATATGGTTGCTGCTCAAATGAACTACATATACTTGTTAACTTATGCAACTTAAAAGTTAGATTAAGTTAATCATAATTATTAGATAAATTATTTACTTCATCAGAAAACTGTAAGTCACATATTTGCAACTTTACTTTGCAGAACATATCTTGCTAACAAGCTTCGTGTAAGTTTAAAGTATTTTAGTTTTACCAGATATTGACTCAGTCAAAAAAACAACAATTAAAAAAGTATAAATACCTTAAAAAGCAATTAGGGAATCAAATCAAACATTAATGAGTTTTATGGTAAACACAATTTGCGATTTCATAAAAATACCAACAATAGATTTAAGAATAATAAAAATTTAATCAACTGATTTTTAATTTAGTTCTGCTGGAAAACTTGAAAAATATTTTAGTAACATAACAATAACAACAAAAAATTTTATTTTTTTAATTTTTTGTGCAGAAAATTTTAAATTAAAATAAATAGCATAAACAACTTTGAAACAATATTCATAATATTTCTTTATAAAATAAAGATTAGTCTTTGATTCCATCAAACCCACATTTAAAGACAACATACCTTCTTTCTTTTTCGATGGTGTCTTTGTTTTTGGAGCAGGTAATTTAACAGACATGGCTTTAGGCTTTTTCTTTTTTTTTTTAGGAGAATCCTGCATTATAAAACCAATTCATAAAAAAATTTATTAATATAACTAATATATATTATATAATTAATAATTGATAAAAATTTTTTATTGTTACAATACCTTTTCTGTATCCTCTTCACTTTCACTTTTAATAGCATCACTTTCTGTGTTATCTTTTTCCTCTTTTGCTTTTTTACTAGGTGCATTACTTACCTTTAAAGCCAAGAGAATTATTTAATTCATAATAAAAAAACATTTATTTTACAAAAATATTCATTTACTAAGAAAAATAACATCAAAATTGAAAAAATGAAACCTTTGTATCTTTAGAGTCGGTAGATTTTTCTAAAAAATGACAAAACTCAGCATTTTAATAACTTAAAAAATTCAAAAAAACTGAAATGCACTTAAATGAAACCAAATTCATATTTTTACTTTTTGATTTTGTTTTTTTGGTGCCAGGTATAGTCTAGAACACAAAAAATAAAAAATAAATAACAAAAAAGTAATTTATTTATCCAATTTTAACAAGTTTAATTTACTTATACAATTTTATAGAATAATATTAGGTTGTTAACATTAATTATTGATAATTAAGTACAATTCATTCAAATATTGCAAATATTAAATCTTCAAATCTCAAATGCCTTTAAACTTTATACTTGAAGCTACAAAAAATGCTCATTAATTTTTGGAATAAAGTTTCAGAAACCATTATTGTTGTTTCTACTAAACAGGATTTAAGAAGGGTGTATCTAAAGGTAATGACTAACTTTCTTCCTTAAAAACTTCAATCAATCAATTGCAACAACACAATAAGGAACTTAATATACAAAGAAAATAATATTTGATCATGATATTTTAGTTAAAAATGGAGTAATATTAGATAAAAAAAATTGTTCAATTATTATTTAACAGCTATAAAAAAAACAAAAAAAAAACAATTCAGTGAAAAAACCAAAAAAAGATATCCTTGTAAATATTTAAAAATTTACTTGAAGTAGTAAAACTTTAGGGCTTTACAGTCTTTACTTTAGGACCTTAAAATGTGACATTAAAATGGAAACACTTTTGATACTTGATTACTTTATAATTAAACAACATGTAACAACGTTATATAATTTAATCACACATTTAAAGTAATAAGCGAAAAAAAAAAAATTATATAGTTATATTGATAAAATAAAATTGATTAAAAGTTATATTGATAAAATATTTAACTTAAAAAAAGTTTCAAAAGTATGTGTACATGCATTATCACCTTGTGCAATTGAGAGAAGATTCACAAGATCAAAAAACATTACAGATTTATTAAGAAAAACTTATTACAAAAATCATTACAACTGATAAAAAACTATTCTACCTTACTGATTGTGATGAAAAATCTAAACATATTCACATAAATAAATATCAAAAAATACTGAGAGTACCCGACTAAATCCATCACGGTATAGGGAGGAACTTGTGCAAAAGAAGTTTGTCAAATCTGGAGACATTTTTACATGGGTTTTTAAGTTAAATCAATTAAAAAAGCCAAAAACAAAAAATATTACAGGACTTATTTAGAATATAAAAGATATATGGAGGAGTATTCCTCAAGAACATATAAATAAAACATTGATGTATTGGTCTAAATGTTGTAAACTTATCTATGATAACATAGGTCATCAAATTGAACATTTAAGAAAAACAAAAATTGAGAATAAAAAAAATATTGCTTTTTAAATGTTTCGATTTTAATGTCACATGACTGTAGATGCTTCAAAGTAGTTTAAAAATAACTTATGCAACTCAATGAAATAAACATCTATTTCAGACTTTTCATATTTAGAATATGAGAATATATCTTGCATTGCATACTAACTACTACAATATATTATTTATTATGATTCTATTTTTTTTAATGCATTAATGCAATATTTAATGCAATATTTGTGTTAATGCAATAATGCAAATATTAACAAACATTTGACATATGTGATGAAATTTATTAAATGTTTCACTATCCAGAAAATTTAGACATTTTCAAAAAGCAGAATTGGAATTAAGTGTATTGCAATCATGTATCACAATTCCTTTCCACATCTTTGTGATTATTTTGTTAGCTTAACTTGTTTTTTTTCTTAAAGCAATTTTTTTTTGGCAAGTTATTTAAATACATTGATTCAACAAGAGTTAAAATATAAGATTTAGAAGAAAATATTAAAAATATTTTTTAAAATTAACAAAAAAATATTTTATATAAAAAAAAATTAACACACAAATTTAATAATAATTAAAAAAAAAAGGGTTTGCATTGATTTGAAATTACAAAAATTAATGTAGCAAATAATAAAGCAAAAATAAATTTAATTAGTAGAAAATAAAAAAGATATAACCCTAACCCTAATAAAAAATGTTAAAAATAAGACTCACCTTTCCAGTATCAACAGGCTTCATTAAAAACTCTAACAATTTTTCTTTTAACTTTCCCTAAATAAAATATAGATGAAAGTTTTGATACTATACACTATATATATATATATATATATATATATATATATATATATATATATATATATATATATATATATATATATATATATATTTGTTACAAAATATATATATACAGTTTTGTGTCTACGGTTTTTAAAAATTTAAAGACCAGAATTTAAAGAAGCATTTCCAGATATCAAAATTTGCCCTATGGAAATGCATCACTTTTGAGAAAAAGTAACAGGTTTATGGTTGCTATCACTTGATATGGTTAATCTATGTGTGATTTTAATAAGATTTATTTCATCAAATTAAAAAAAATTTCCATTACTAGTCTAAAAAAACATTTTTCATTGGACGAGGTTTAATAAATATACATTATAAAACTCGATTTAGTCTAGTCTAAGCTAAGAATTAACCTTCTTGTACTTTTAAGACAAAATTTTTTATTGAGTCTGAAAAACTAAAATGATTAGACAAAACCAACCCCTGATTATTGCAATTCTCTCGTTAAAAATATTTTGACATACCTTGTCACCACCTTTTTCTAAACTTAATACTCCAGAAATAAATTTTAATTCAGGTATTGAAACTCTCTCCATCATGGATGAAACACGAGTACTGAGTTCTGAACTCTAAAATTAAAAATAAATTAAATATGTTAAACTGCTAAAAAAACATTTACACACTTTTTATAACATGAATTACCTCTTCAAAAGGATAGCCACAAAATGTGCGTATTTCTTTTTTCAACGTTGTATTCTAAAATTAATTATTATAAATTATTTAACTTTTTCAAATTGTAGAAAAAGTCTTTTGAAAATTCAAAAAATGCATACTTTTCCTGGTTTGAAATATAGAAGTTTGTGTAGTGTTTTCAGGTCTTCTGGACGTGTTTTATCTATCATGTATTTGACTAAAATTAAGAACAAATCAATATAAGCTTTCAAACACAAAACACAAAATTAAGTACTATTTTAAATTTGTTTTATACCATATTGAATATCACCCAACTTCATTCCTTTTCCCTAAAAAATAACAATAACAAAAATCTATTACAGAAACAGTTGTATTAATTCTTAAAGATTTTTAGAATAAAAAACAACAACAACCTTTGAATAATCAAGGTCATTTTCTGGCGCTTTTTTTAAATCAGCATTATTCAAAGATAATCTTTCAACACTTTTTCGATCTCTTTTTTTGGTTAATATTTCAATAGGCTTTTCCAGAGAACCTGTTAAAAACAGAATAGGTTATAAAGCTTAAAAACTACAACAAGGGGTTTATTAATATCAGTCATTCCACAAGTCATGATCATAACATTTGAAGCTCTGAACTTTTAAAGCTAAATAAAAGCATTTAAGCATGTTTAATGATTCAAAACTCTAGATAAATGTTAAAAATTAGCATATTGAAATCAAAATGTTTATATAGTTTTTTGTTAAGTTTTAATTTTTCTTAAATAACTTGACATAGTGTGGTCATAGCAATTTTAATTTTTGGGCTTGAAAAAATGATTTATTGAAAAGTTCAATAAATAATTTTTTCAAAAATTGTTGGTATTACATAGTAGGACACTCATGTAACCGTTATTTCAAAAATAGTGACTGAATTTCAAAGTAATTGGTAATGCTTTGAGGCATAAGTAACAAAAAACTGACAAAACTTCAACTAAAACTGCAATAAATCCTACACCAGTCATCCAATCAGACTGAAATTTTGTCCAGAGTTTGGTGTGACTATTGGCTACATTTGCACCAATTTTTATCAAATTATATTGAGTGGTTCAAATTCTACAAGTGTTTTTATTGGCGCACTATGAAGTCAAAATTTGACTTAATTTGAACATTCAAATTAAATTATTTTCCGTGGAAAAAATTAAATGATTTCAAAATTTGCATCACAGGGTACCTTGATGTGTACGCTAATTTTCCGTATAAGTGACGTTCTTGGGACAGCTAGGTAGGCATTATAAGGATCCGTGCTAACCATGGAATAATTTTTATATATAATGAGAGTATCGCAGTTGTTAGCACAACAAAGCAAAAAATAAACATTTCCATACAGTATGCCTAGGTATATAACTAACTTAAAGCTAATTTAAATTTTTATGAAAAATTTATGTTAAATTGGTGTTTATACATCTAATTAGGCCTTTAATGGCCAAATACTAAAATTATACTAGAATAAAGGAAAACTATTCCAAAATTTATGCCAAAAAAAATATTGTTAAAAAAAGCAATACAACACCAATAAACAAAAAACAAAAAAACAAGTTTTTTTTTACCCAAAAAAAAACTAAAGGAAAAAAACTTGTATTTTTGCATCTCTATGCATAATTAAAAAAAAAATAAATCAAAATAGAAATCCAATTATTTTTTTTTTACTATTTGTTTATTAACCCTACATAAAAACACTTAAGTTTGTCTTATTTGTGAGTTCAATAATTAAAAAGGAAAATAAGAATAGATTAAAAAGATAGATTAAAAGGATATATATATATTTTTAGTTGAGTAAAATCAAAATTTTTTGTTAAATTTTCTTTTTATTATTTATTCTGATGTTGTTACCTAGACAAATAGAAATAAATCTGAATATGTAAACTATTGGAGAGTTAAAGCTAAAATACTCAAAAAGATTACTATCCAAGTTACTTATCCTAATTGTTCTTTTAGATTTCTATTTTCTATTTTTTTGTTTTTGCATAGATATTTAATTTATTTATTTTAATTTGATGACATTTCAAGATCTGAAATTCAAATTTTATTATAAATCATTAATTCCACTGATGCTGAGTTAATGTAGACGCATTTCTGAGGATGTTTTACCTTGAGTCAGTCAATGGATTATTGAAACACTTGCAGTTACTTATTTTAGCCACCTTTGATGCCATCAGTGTGTATCTAATGCTGCATTCAAGAGTGTGTGTGTATATATATATATATATATATATATATATATATATATATATATATATATATATATATATATATATATATATATACAAAAAATAAAAAATATATAAAAGAAACTTATTAAAAATGTACTAAAAAGTAAAAAATAAACTATTTTAGAGGACCCAAGGACTTTGTGTACATACACAACCAGAAATATCCATTAAAGTCAATGACTGAAAATATTGGGCACCAATAGGAACGAGTTGTAATTAGTTGCAGTAGTGGTGTAGTGGTAAAGTGCTTGCTTCAAAAGCGAGAGGTATATAAGGATATATAAGGGTCAGCAAAGTCAACTTATCAAGATCCAAATATAACTGGAAGACGAATTTAGACCATATGCATTCACCAAATTTATGACGTATGTAAATTTGGACTTTTAAACCGAATTTAACGAACAAAAAGCTAAGTTGGATTTTATAAAACAAAAAAATTATTCTTTGGCTGTTAATTAACCATATTTAAAAAAAAAAGTGAAGCGAAAGTGAACTTTTTATTTATTGAAACAAAAAATATACACTTATAAAAAACAACAACAATTTGTGTCAAAATCTAAAACCCAAAAATGCAGCTATAATAAAAATTAAAGTTATGCAATCTTTACAACTCTTAATGTTTAACGAACATTAACAAAAGAACTTCAACAAACATTCATTGAAAATTTTCGAATTTTATAAAGGAACAAGATCAAATAGAATATTATGTAAACATTCACCTGTTTTTTACCTGCAAAAGGCTTTTTCTTTTGAAAATGATAAATAAGATTTAATAAGTGATGTCTACCTTTAAGCACAAAGTCTGACTTAGAGTTCCAAGGTAAACATGAAATATATAATAAATTAATTAAAAAATTAATAAATTTTGAATTCAACTGAAAGTTAAATGAAATTTTGCGTTTGTTTCTGAATTTAGCTCGAAAACTGAAGTTCTATTTAGAAATCGGCTTTTACTTTAAGATACAAATTTCTACTTAGAATTTTAACGAATATTCGCCAGTCCTTAGTATATATATATATATATATATATATATATATATATATATATATATATATATATATATATATATATATATATATATATATATATATATATATATATATAACACATATATACACACATATATATACATCGCATACATACACACATACACCTCACATATACACATATATATATATGAATCCAGTGTTTGATACACACTGACTTCATAGTTAAAAATATGCTTTTATTATTAAACACTCTTTTGTAAGTAATAACTATCTAGTTGCCCTGCTAGGCTTTTTTTTTAATTTCAGCAGAACTTTGCAAAAAAAAGTTATCCTGTACCATCAGACAACTGTAATGTTACACCCCTAACATGTATAAACATAAAATAAAGAACCATTCAAAAGAGTTAACCCCTTTTAAAAATAAATTTTTTAAGATTTATTGAAACGCAATCGAAGCTCTTTTTATATTTATACATTCATTTTCATGATAATTCAATTAAACATACTATACCAAGTTCCTCTTCTGATGATTCTGATGCTAATGTATTCTCATCCCCGTTTTTCGGTGTTTCTTTTTCTTCTTCAGTATCAACTTTTTTTAATTTGTCTTCAGTATTAGCTTTTTCATCCAAAGGAACATCAGAAATCTATAAAATGAAAAGTTTAGAAAACTTTAACAAAAATTTTAATAATCATGTAACCAAACTTTTTTTTTTGCTTTTTTTTAAACTATGGACAGGACTTCTGATATATCTTTGCATAATTTGGAAATGAAATACATGGATTATTGAATGATACTGACATGTATCAGTATAAAACAGCCGAGATCCTTAATGTTTTATGCAATTTTGCAAACTGCCATAAAAGAGCTTGTGGCAAAAAAAGAATGACAATCCTTAGAGGTGACAGAAAAATATGAGATGCATGCTTAGAGAACACAAAAAAACTCTAGTAAATCTGCTAACCAAGCAATGCATCAACATATGTCAATCTACAGTGTAGAAACACTTGAAAGAGTTTGGGATAATTTCTTGATGTTTAACTTGGAAACCTAAAAAACAATACGGTTAAAAAGCATTTGGAATGGGTAAAAAACACTAAAACTTCACCAAGGATGTCTGGAAAAGGGTAGGAAAAACAGAGATTAGTTGAATTTTTTTTTTTAATTTCTGAACTTGTGAAAAAAAAAACTCTTTTAAATTTTTTTTATTGCCTAAATACTACTTACTTAAGTACACAACATTCACTAACAATAAATAAATTTAGTTATGTAGTTTTTAATAAATTCTTGATAAGAGATTAGATTCAAATTTATTAGAACAGTGATACATGTTCTAAAGGATACGCAGGTCCATAAAATATGAAGGACTCTGACAACTTGCCCTAAAATCACATAACACACATGCTAGATAATTAAAAATATATATTACAATTATATATAAGAATATAGCTATAAAACAAAAACCAGTTAGCCGGAACAGTATTTTTCAAAGTCGATATATTTGATTTTAATTTTGAAGCTCTTTATATTTTTGGCGTTCACGATGTCAGACTGCAAGTTATTCCAAATATTAACAACCCTGAGTGAGAAAGAGTATTTACGGACATCGAGTTTACATTTTAGTTTGCGTAATTTAAAATTACATCCTCGAGTGTAAATATAGTTGTTAAATAAAAAGAAGCTTGATTTATTTAGGCAAACTAAATTGTTCAAAATTTTGTAACATGTAATCATGTCTTGCTTAAGACGACAAGTTTCTAGTAGTTACAAACCAAGAATTCTAAGTGAATCGATGAATGTTAAAAGGGCCGAAGTCACATATTTTGCAAAATTGACTTTTTTGCAAATTTGTATATTCAAAAGATAGCTCCATCATTTTGTGTTAAAAAGGGGTAAGTCAAAAATTTTCTCTAGCCTGTACAGTGTCTAAAAGTTTTGGTTTTTTGTTAAAAGGGCTGAAGTTCGGACTTTTAACAGCCCTTTTAACTTGACTTTTAACAGTCCTTGACTTGACTTTTAACAGCCCTTTTAACAAAAAACAAGAAACTTTGCGCTAAAGACAACGGACCAAATGTAAACTTATTTTGTCATTTTGTTTGTGCAACAGCGTGGTGAATAAAGTTGATTTATTACGTTTATATAATGATTTAAGTTATTAACTGCTTTTTTAAATGGATGATAGTGCTAGTAAGTCTGATCATACAAATTATAAAAAAAAGATAAGAAACCAGTAATTGAGTTGACAGTACATAACAGACGCGCAAAAAATTTTAACAAGCCATAAAACAAGATGAGCAGGACGCTAGGGAAGAAAAAAATGTAAATGTTTTGCCCCTAGCAGTAGATTTAATGCGAAACATTTCACTGCCCAAAACACATGTGCAAGAGTTAATTTACATAAGGCAGTTAATGGTTAGTGTATTTTCTATTCATGATAGAAAGGCTAGAAAGTCTCTAAATGAAACTTGCTCCTTTCTATTGCACTACCTGTCTACCTTACGTATGATGAACTCAACTTTTATGCCAATAATTGTGGGATGCAAAATAAAAACCATTGCTTTTCAAACCTTTTTATGGCGCTTACTGATAATAAGTGGATTAAAAAGATCAATCAATTTTTTCCAATCAGAGGACACAACTTTTTGCCCTGTGACCGTGACTTTACGATTATAAAAAAAGAGTTAAGAAGGCATGACAGTGTACAGCGTATAACAAATTAAAAAAATTATATCAAAAAGTAGTAATCAATACAAGTTTTTAGTGGTTAATGTAGAGAGTTCATCTCTAGTTTACGATGTTAAAAGTTGATGGCCAGTCCACTATAAAAGAAACGTTACCTCAATTGAAACAATGGGGAAACCTAGAAACCAACAAACTCAGTTTAAGTGACAGTTTGTCATGGGCACCGATTGCCAACACAAAATGTAAAAACAAATCCCCCATACATCATAAATGGCGAACAGCTAGTGTCCCATGCTGTATCCTAATTCTTAGAGCGGCTGTATAAATATTCTGTTACTGTGTTATTAGTTAAATTCTAAAAACCCATCATAAACTCTTCCTTTACTTGAAAACAGATTGCTTTCTTTGGTTGATAACTAAGATACATGTTTTTTTGTTTTTGTTTTGCTTAGTTCTTGTTTACAATACTTGTTAAAAGATATTTTTATAGAGAATTAAAAATTAGGTCGCGCAACAATAAAAAACAAATATCAAATAATAAATAAAATACCACAAAACAATAGTAAGCAATAAATAAATAATACCAAGAATGCAGAGAATCTGTAACAAGATCAGATGTCTTGTCACTCAAAACTGTTAAAAAATACTGCTTTAAAAATGTGTTTGAAAAAACCATAAATAAATGCTGATAAATAAAAAAGTAAAAGACATATACAACTACAATATTAAAACATAAAGACAAAATATAAAATTATACAATTAAATATAAAATTAATGAATGAAATACACGTTTTACAGAACAAATTTCATTGAATATATTCTTGCTTAATTAATAATTAAATAATTTCGAGAATATTTGTACCCAATGAAAAGTTTAACAATTAAATGCTGTTAATTTTTTTTAAGGTTAAATACAAAATATATTTTTTAACAGAATAATCATTAAATGATTATCTTAATAAGGATAATAATCATTTAATTACAATAAATATAACACAAAAATAATTTATAGCAATAGACAAGCTTAAAATATCTGAAATATTTTATTCTGAAATATTTTATTCATATTTTGAATGAGAACTTCGAGAAATTTAGAAAATAACTAAAGAAATTCTATAGTAATTTACAATGAAAAAAAAAACCTTTATATAATAAGTAACTAAACAAATTCTTTAGTAATCTATAAAAATATTCTATAATTTGATGAAAAAAAAAGAAATTTTAGATTTTTTATAGAAATTCTACAATGATATCATATACTAAAACTCTTTGAAATTAAAAGCGCTTGAATTATCAAGTCTGTAGATTGTGACATATATTTTAAAGAACCAAAGCAACTTGCAAACATGGAGATAGAGAGCTTTGAGTAAAACTTAGTTTTTCTTGGTATGTTTTTATTATTTTGTTTTACTTAAAAAAAATTCAGTCCAAACATTTATTTTTTTATCAATCTCTATGAACACAACTTGTCTTGGCACTTTAATATTCCTTAAATTTCATTTAAAGGGATCCCCAAGTGCCAGGACAAGTGTTCGCTTTTGATCACTGCAGAGTTTTTTTAAACTCAGTTCAGTTTTACACAATCAGATTGGGTTTTCCCTTTCATATTTAGTCTGCAGTGGTTATAAAAAACATTATGTTCTAACATAAACACTAAACTAAATGTTGTTTAATTTGTCGTTAAGTGTTTGAGCTAAACTAGCATAATAAAAGTAATTAAGCAAACTTTAAAATACAAAAGAAAAAATTTGTCTTAGAAAATAAGTAACCAATTTTTTTATATACAACACTAAGTACAGTATAATCCAACATAGTTGAATTTCGAAAGATTTTAAAATCTTTATTTTTGAATAAATTCAGGAAACTGTTTTAAAAATGATCTTATACATATTTTTAACTTATGTTTATAATAGTTTATATTTATAATTCAAGAAACTGTTTTTAAAATGATTAATATATATTTTTCAGATATATGTAAAATTGATATTAAAAACTTAAAACTTATACTTTTGTTTACTTTTTTTTATTGACGTCAGATACAAGCGCATTAATCAGAACAGATTTGAAAAAGAAAAATAGTCAAAGAGCCGGAACTTTTCCTTTACGAGAAACAAAATGGAGTTTAAAATTAAAAAGTTTTTTTGTTAATATTTTATTCAATAATTTGTTTCAGAAAGTTTAATTAACTTTTAACTTATTTTCAAATGTTTATCTATGATAGAACCCTCGGAATTAGGGTCAGCATTCGGCAATGCCGACCTAAAAGTGTTTGATGTCGGCAAATATTGCTGACCTTGTTTCTATGTTTTATGGTAAGACCTTTGTATCAATTTTTTTTTTTGTCGACCTCAAAAAGATTGAGGTCGGCAAATTATTGCAGACCTCATTTTTCCTAATTCTGAGGGTCGATGATATGAACACAGCTTGTCTCAGCACTTGGGAATCCCTTTAAGTTAATACACTCAAAAAAAACTTTGTTAAAAAAAAAAAAAAAACAACTCTATAATTTAAATTAAATGTGCATATTTATTAGAAAATCATTAAATGTTAATACTTTTCCCATATAAAAACATGAGTGAAAATAAAATTCGAAGTTTATTATTCCAAATCTATTTAAAAACTTGATTTTAATGTAACTAGTTTTTTGTTCATTTTTTGTGCCATTTTTAAAAATAAGAAGTTTTTTTCTAATTCTCTGCAAACTAATTCATTACGTAAAATATAAGTCTCTCCATCATAGATAATTATAAGCAAAAATTAAAAACATTTTTTCTTATAAAAAGGGAGAAGTGCTTTTGTTTAAAAGAATTCTTTTCACAAAATTATTTTTTATTTCTTATCAATTCAATTGTATGAAGTTCTTTAGACGTAATATAATTATGAACATAAATTACATATCTTATTGTTAACTGATAAAATAAATTGCTTATAATCTTTATTAAAAATATACATTAAATACGTAAAAAATTAAAATTAATAAATAAATTGTGATAAACAAAAAACTATATTAATAAGGAAATATAATCTTTTACAAATACTGAATTTAGATTCTAATAATAATTGAATTTAATAACTGAATTTAGATTCTAATAATAATTTTTGTTAAATTAGTTAAAATAATTTTTAAAGGGGTATAAAATTTAATTTAATTACAACGCGATACTTTAAAATACTTTCAAAATATAATTAGTTTTTAAGCTCCTGTAACAAAAAAGATCTTAATAAAACAGCACATTAAAAGCAAAAGGTATTAAAGTATTTGTAATTTTTTAACATTTGTCAATACGTTGTTGTTGTAAAATGAGGGCAAATTTTTATGATAAAAAAGCGCTTAAGTGAAAAACCTAATGACATATATATCAGTCTACTTTTAGCCCTATAACGAAAAATGACTAGAATATGCAAAAAATCTGCTGAATGCAATACTTATTATAAAAAATAGCAGACCAAAAATAATGATCTGGTTACTTTCAGTCACACTTCTGGCGACAAACCAAAAGTCCGAGTGTACACCCCTGATATATACACAGTCAATTCCTGTTACTCAAACCTCCATGGGACCAAGAAAAATGGTGTAACTTAACTAATGTTCAACTAAATGTTTGATGTTTATTAGTGAACTCCGGTTAACTCGAACATTGGCCTATATCAGATATTAGTTCGAGTTAAGGCAAGTTTTTAAATTCAATTTAAAACATTAAATATACTCCATTATACTAACAAAAACGTGAAAAATATTCCAGTGAAAGAAATTACATATTATATTTACATTCAACACTCAAAAGATAAGATTGAAAAAAGCATATATAGCATCATTTTACATCTGATAATGATTTATTTTATTCAAATTTAAATACAACAAAAAATATAAAGAATATTAGACTACTGTTACTTGAGTTTTATATGGAATGACTTCTCAAAATATTGTTAAATTATTTTGATTTATTTATTTCCCGAAAGAAAAATTTGAGTTAACCAAAGAAATTTGCTATAAGGGGACAAAAAAAGATTCAACTTAACAAAGCTCAAGTTATCAGAGGTTCAACTTAACCAGAGAATTTTATTAGTAATCAATTAGATGATTTTAAGTGACCAGATGAAACAGCTTGAGATAACAAAAGTTTGAGTTAACCAGTGTTTGACTTACCAGGCATTAACTGTATATATATTCATTCTAAAAACAATGATAAATTTTTTTATCATCCTATACTAAAAACATAGTAAGAGATGCACAAAAGCAGCAATAACCACTTTAAAGTGTCTTCTACAATTTTACAACATCTCAGGATAACAATAATATTAGCTTAACATTATAATAATTATATTTACTAATTATATTAACAATATTATTAGCAATATTATTAGCTATTATTATATAACAACATTAGCTTTACATATATACAAGTATGAAAAATAAAAAGCAGTCAGGGATTGAAATAAACAAAGCTATTATTTATACCTTACTGGTGAAGGTTGGTCATACAAATAAATAAAAATAAACCAAGATTCAAATATTTAGGCTTCACAAAAATAAATATTATAAATATTTTTAATTAGCATAAACAAAAAACAGTTGCTGTCATTCAATTCTCAGAAAAACATAAAGTCTTTTTAGTGAGCAATTATCACAAAATTCAATACTTGATGATCATATTTTCATCATACTTTAACGAAGTAAATAGACTTATTTAGAGAAATGATTTTTTATTAGCAAAATCTTAAATGACTTTTACATTCAAAAATGGATATCAAGTTTCATACAACTTTCTGGATTAGCTTTTATATTTAGGTTTCAAATTTTAGCTTCTAAGAGAATATTTGTGCATTTTATGACACTATGAAAAAGTACTTTATTGACTGCTAAAAAAAATCATTAGGGATGAAAGAGTTGCAAATAAATCTCTTTAACTGCATTGGCCCATTTAAAGAAGAAATTAAGAAGATTAAATTATAAACTATTATGCACTATATAGTCTATAATGTATGTCAGTTCATAAAGAAATCCAACTATTAGGTATCAAACATGTAAGTTTTGACCATACCAGTGACAGTTGCATCTTGTGAAGGGAGTTTTATAAGTTGAAGATAATAAAAAACTATTTAAGGTCTTCAATATGCCAAGACATTTATCAAATTTGTCTATCATCTCAATTGAACCAACACTGACAAACTCACTTAATTATGATGTTATAAATGATTTTACATCACTGAAGGCCAGAAGAGCAAACTTAAAATGACATATGAAAAACATTAAAGCATTGTTATTATTGAACTTTAATAATTAGTTTGACCTTTTTTTGGAAGAGGAGGAGGTGGGAGGGGCCCTAAATTTCAGCCTTGCACCGGGATTTGTAATGGCTTTCTAAAGCACTGATATCAATTATTCTTTATTTTTAAAAAGTCAGCAAGTAATAAACTAAAAACTTTATATATTGTAAGAAAAAAAACTGCGCCATAGTTTACTTTTTTTTTTACAAGATAATTTGACATATTGTATATGTTTACAAGGAATTCCATTCCTAGTAAAATAAAATAAAAAAGTAAAATAAAAGCCTTATATACGCTTGTGTTATTAAAATGAGTTAACACTTGTGTCTTTTAAACATCTTTAATGTATATTAATATAAATTAGTGTACAACTTTAATGTACTTTAATGTACAACGCTTTGTACATACTTATCATGTCTACATATAATCATTTCTAGTGAAATAAAAATAGTGAAATAAAAGTCTTATGGGTCTAAATTATAGATAATTGCTTATTGAGAAATAAGTAATAATAATTGTGATAAAATTTAAAATCAATCAGGTTTAAGGAAGCATTACATGGTTAAATATGACAACAGGTCTTGTTTGCATTAAGCTGCTGGCAACTTACATACGCATTAAGCTATTTTATGTACGCCTAAAGCGTACAAACAAAATTGGTAGTATATTTATATAACTATATTTCTATTTTTTTACTAATAAAAATAATGGTTCATATTTGTATAAAAAAAATTTCAAAACTTAAAATGAGCTGCATAATGCCTTAACCTAAAATGCATTGTTTGCTAAATATAAAAATCATAAAAAGTATTAACTTACTACAAATAATATAACTATTTTCCTTATATTTATAATAAGCTATAATGTTTTACATTTAATAATTATTAACAATAAATAGTACACTCCATTCAATTTTGTAAATTCAATATTTTGAATTTTGCTTTGTTTTGTTTGAACACTCATTATTTATACTCATAAAAATATAAAGTAACAAGCATTGTCATAAAAGTAACCTCTTCTTTTTTTTGATCGTCAACAACTTCTGCCATAGTTAAAATTAATATTAAAAAATATTTATAACGATATTTAACAAATGCAATTTAACAATTCCAACGAACCAAGTATTAGATGAATGAAAATGATTAAACCCGCCAAAAAAATAGAAAATGAATAAATAATTCGTTACCAGTTTTCTGCAAATTATTTGAAATTCTGCCAAGTATTTGAAAAAATAACTCTTAGGAACCTCAATCAGCTCAAGTCTTGCAAAAGTATTATATTTGGTAACGTTTTATAGCTGTGGTTTTGGAAAACATTAGTACTCCAAGAAGAATTTTGTGCGTTCCAATTTGGAAGATTTGGGAGAATAGCCCCCCCCCCTTCTCTTGAACACTTTTTCTAAAAAAAATAAAAGTTAGCATCAAAACACGTTTTATTTTAAACTCCTTTTATATTTTGAATGATAATATAGGGTCATGTCTATCTTAAGGAACTATCGTAAGGAACTTTTAATGTAATTTTATCATGGTCGACGACATGGGTTTCGAAGTGGGAGATGCGCATTTGTCAATTTCTAAAAAAAGTCCTTTATATCTAGAAGTTTCTAAAAAAAAAGGGTCTTTAGAAAAAAAGTGGAGGAGGTCAGTATGCTACTGGTCCCCCCTCCCCTGAATCGCATCTCTGTTTATTAAGAATATATGTTTTTTGTATTGTTTTATTACTATTTGTTTTATTAATATTTATTTATTTCAGTAATTATGTATTTTTAAAAATATTTTTCCGTTTTTTTCACATTTTTTTATTGTTTTGATAAAAGTGTAAAATAATAGTAAAAACATATTTTTTAAATTTTATTGAAATATAGTGCTATTTTTTGTATAACATAATTATACAAAAAATGTATAAACCTTGTCACAGTAGGTGATTATGTTAAAACTATGTTAGTTAGCACTTAACATAACTAACATAATTTTCATAACACATTTGTTTTGTTTTTTCTCCAAATAAAGTATAATAATTAATACACCTGTAAAAATATAAAGACGTATTTTCGCAGGTGTAACAAGTGCAATCGCACTCTTTCTTTGAAATTTAAGGAGCCAAAATAATTAAATTTTAGTCACACATTTTTCTAATAAGAATCTTCTTTATAAGAAGCTAGCACTAGAAGCTAAAATCTTAAGAATCTATTAGTGCAAAGTTACTTTTCGATTAGAAACTTATTTTATTAAGTGTTCGAAAAATATTTCCCAACTTTTTACCAACATATGACAACAACAAAATACATTAACTAAAATTGAGAACAACAATTTAAATGAGTATTTAATTTGCACGCGCAATTGAATGAAGTTCTATTCAAATGATAATGGAATTCTCCACAATTGAATTCTCCACACTGAAATTGACCACAAATTTCTATTTAAAAAAATAGAGTATTATGGAATTAAAGGTAATATTTTAATGATACTTAAAAGTTATTCAAGCAACCGTAAACAGTTTGTTTACAGTAATGCAATTGCCTCTTTCAATTTATTAAATACAACATGTGAAGTCCCTCAAGTTCTATATAAAGATCTCTGGTCTTTCTAATTTACATTAATGATTTCCCTGAAGCCCCAAATTTAATGACGGTCATGTAAATACCAAATGAGGAAATTGAACTAAAATAAGGAAAAAATGAATCCAATTGAATGCTGTGATAATATTGATATACGTGATTTTGTTTTTCGAATTAATGATGAGTATAACCACCTAACTTAAACGACTAAAGATAAATATAAACAATCTTGTTTTAACAAATTAATTGATAAAGTTAGTTGCAGAATTTTTTGCAAAAATGAATAGTATAATTCTTTAAATCAAGTTTTCGGCTTTCTTTTAAATAATAAAAACTATGAATACAAATAAACTCAATACTAATTGTACAAATCTGGTCAAACACCCACCTTAAGTCTAGGGTTACCACCTTAAAAAATGATATCAGACGCGGACTGGGGCTTCAATCGTACCGAGAAGAGAAAAAGGAGGTGCGTTACAAGGTCAGGATAGAGGTAAAAAATAGGCTAGTGTTTATATAAAGGTCTTTTTAATTTGATTATGAATAGGTAAAATAATGTTACCCTTTCAAAGTTCAAAGTTCATTCCGGCTTTTAATATAATTCAGTATGTTATTTTACTTATGCATGAAGTATATATGATAATTATGTAGACAATGATAATAATAATAATAGTAGTTATGATGACAATAATAATAATAACAACAATAATAATAACACGATGAATTTATTATGATAAATGAATAATAAATAATACTTTTTTGAAGTATCCAACTCTGAGACTGAATTCGATTTTTCTGAATCTTCGTCACTAGGACTCACTGTAAATTCATTTTGTAGTGTTTTTGAGAGCCTATCAAAGTTTATAGCAAAGTTATGCAATTCAGATCTCAATCTTTCAGAGCAAAGATTAGGTAGTTGAGAAATTTTTGCAAGACTGTTTTCTGGAATACCATTTTCAACAATTTTTTTAAAACGTCTGGGGTTTAAACACGCAGTGTCTCATATGATGTCTCTGTTAACTGAGAAACGTTCCTCTTTGCTAGTGGTAATCTGGTCAAGTAATCTACGGAAAACATCCATACTGAAACAATCAAGATAAATCTCTGCTATGTCATCAAAGGCGAGTTCCCCTGTCATACATTTCTTTTGATGAACTCGTTCTACACGCAATTCTGTTTCAACCTCTGAATCAAGTTCCCTAGGATTCATCTAGGAGGGTGTTGATTTCTTTAACAAATGCAATTGTCTTGGAATGGACATCTTTGAACGATATTGTCTGCAGTTCTTGTTTTGCTGACTCTACCATATTCCAAACACTTAAACAATCCAGACCTCTTGTTTGCAAATATTCGGATGCTTGTCGCAAAACGGTGTACACACGTAGAAGAAGAAAGGCTGCAAGAAGCATATCGAATTGACACCATTTGTCATCCAGTGCTGTAGTTTACAATGTTGATTTTACATCGAATCTTGAAGAAATCCTAATACGATTAAAAACTTTCAAAAGAGCATCGAACGATTTCACTTGTGAAGCATCATAAGTTCCAAAAATTCGTTCAAACGTCATCTGCTTTAATTACCAACGTGTTTCACCCCTTTTTTGCTTTCTTTTCAGTTTCGCAGATCCAACTTCTTGTCCAATGTGAATATCCGTCCAAACGTTCATTCGTTTGCAAGAATCGCCAAAGTAAGTTGCTGTACTCTGCAAGAGATCAATTAAATTTTTGACAGCTAATATATTTTCGACAATATCTTTTGCGGACAAATTTAGAACATGCGCGTAGCACCACATGTATACAGCATTTGGTGAAACTTTGTTAGTGTCACGTTGAACTCCATGATATTTACCAAGCGTGTTTGCTGCTCCATCAAAGGGTTCACCCACAATTTCTTCCATTTTTAAACCATTGTGTTCAAGCTCTGATTTCAATAGTTGGTATAGTTCTGCACCTGTTGCATTTGTAATTTTTTTACTGCAAATAATCGCTCTTTCATGTCCTCTCCAAGTACATATCGTAAGATTATTGTCTCCTGATCAATCACCGACATATCTTGACTACCATCCCTTTGAATACTGTTTTTCTGATCATCAATTTCCTTGATTCAAGTTTGAAATAGCAGCTAGAATATTGTTAACTGTAGTCTTTGACAACATTGTTAACAAGCCTCCACGTCCACGTGAGCTTCCTTTTCTTTTACGTATCAAACAATCTTTCCTTTTTTGACTTGCCTAAATAGCTTTTTCTATATGATTATTAAGAGGACCGTCAAACTCTGCTATCAGCAATATTAGTTTTAAAAAGTTTCCGTGATCAATAGATTTATCGTTTAAACTGTAGAGAGGTTCACCCTGATTACCTCTGTATGGAAATGCTTGCTTTCAAATAAAAATGACTGCTGCAAAAATTCATTTAAATACTTCGATGTTTTTCAATACTTGCGCTTTCTGCTTTTCCACTATACTTTTGTTGATTAAATAGCTTATATCTTTCTCCGTTAAACAATTTAATTGTGAAATTACAGCAGCGTTGTGTGATTTAGATTCTTCATGGTCTTTGACTCTTTAGTATATATAGGAGAATTTTTTAAATCCAAGAGTAAAACTAGAATCTTCTTTTAAAAATGTCAAGCATGCATTGCAGTAAAGTGCCACGATTTGATTGTCTTCAATTCTTGCGGTTATCCAACGTCTTTCTACATACTTATTACCTGATATCAATCTTTGGTAAATGCTTTACATCTTTATGGTTCGGCTGAATCATGTTATTATTTACTAATACTATTCTTTGGTTACGCTGTGCAGTGTCAGGAAGCCGTTTATAAATCAATTTTGTTGTTTTGGTACAATGATGTTTATGGTTGAGAATACTTGAGTTAGCATCATCTTTTGTTAGTTCTATATATACATCATATATACTTTCTTCGGTAATAACTGCACCAAGTTCTGACGTACAGTCTACTATAGTTTTTACGGGCAATTTGCTAATGGTAAAATCTGATTGATTATCTTGTTGAGGACTGGAGGACACTGTATTTGACACGGTACTTGCTTCAATGATTACGTTAGGCGTTATATTTCACAAAAATGCATTTTTCTTAATTAACATTGGGTTTGACGCAAAACAGATGAACAGATGCTTCTTCAACAACATTGATAATATGTTCATTATTAAATAGCAGCTTGCGTTGTTTAAAATCACGGCCTAATTGAAGCAAATTACGCCTCTTCTTTTCTTGTCTTCTTTTGGCACCGCTAGACTTACATAATGTTGAGTCAGATTTTGTAGCGACCATCTTATGTTCATTAGACACTGAAGTGTTTGCTTGCTGGGAAGTTTCAGAAAAAGTTTTTATAGTAACCTGCACAATGTACAATGCAACCACTGTAGCAACATAGATACATTTAATGATTATATAAACAGAAAAAATTCTGTCAACTCGGACTCTGAAGGTAGACCCGTACCGTGATTTTTAGGGGGGTTGTTTTGGAAAAAAAAGGCATTTTAGAGTAGTAAACTTACCTTTTGCTCAATTTTGCATCAAAATTTGTTTTAACAATTTTTTGTCAAAATGTTTACACAGCTATACCCAAAATCCTAATGAGACTTTTAATCAAATAATCTGGAAAAAATGCCCGAAAACACATTTTGTTTCAAAAAGTGTTTTAGAGTTAGCTGTTTTCTCAGCAGTTATATCTTTTAATGGATGTTACGTTTCGCATTACGAAACCTTTCAACAAGTTGGATTTCATTGTGGAAAATATTTCCTTCTCGTGCAAATAAAAAGGACAATAATCGCATCATTCATATAGAAAGGGAGGAAAAAGAAGTAACAAAATCAAGGAGGAAAAAATTGAGAGGTATAAGAAAAAGATTTAGCAAGGATGACTCCTATGTGTCTGGAAAATTTTAAAGATATGTATTATTAAAGTTGTTTTATTTTGTTTTCTTCTCGAGATATTGACATTGTTTTGTTGTCGAGATATTGACAGTGACAGCACAAATTTTACATAAAAATTATTTTTTAAAGTGAAGCCATTTTGGTTCTGTAAAAGTTCTGATAGTGATTCTGGTCAATCCCTCAATCAACATGTCGTTAACCTTTTTGCAAAATTTTCCCATATATACTAAAGAGTCAAAGACCATGAAGAATCTAAATCACATAACGCTGCTGTAATTTCACAATTAAATTGTTTAACGGAGAAAGATATAAGCTATTTAATCAACAAAAGTATAGTGGAAAAGCAGAAAGCGCAAGTATTGAAAAACATCGAAGTATTTAAATGAATTTTTGCAGCAGTCATTTTTATTTGAAAGCAAGCATTTCCATACAGAGGTAATCAGGGTGAACCTCTCTACAGTTTAAACGATAAATCTATTGATCACGGAAACTTTTTAAAACTAATATTGCTGATAGCAGAGTTTGACGGTCCTCTTAATAATCATATAGAAAAAGCTATGGTTATTCCATGACAATAAAAGATTTACGGCCTTAGAAAAAAGACGTTTAAAAGGTATCTTTCCTATAACAATTTTGCATAACTGTACTTGAACGGAACGTCTTATTTAAGTCACTATACAATGTCGTTTAGGATCTAATCTAGAATCAGTTTAGAACGCGTCCGAGACGTTTTGTCTGAACGTTCATTATACGTTTTTTGTACGTGCCGGTGCCCGCTGGGCGTTTGTAGTTCCACCAAAACTAAGCGACTGAATTACAAACTGACTGTACTTTTTTGATTGAATATTGAATCAAAATAATAGTTACGTCTGTTCTGAGAGCAGAATACCAATATTTGTTTAGACCGGGATAAAATTAAAACTTGAGAGTTTTTTTATATAATTAAGATAGCGCATGCTAAAACCAAAACTCTAACTCTAACTCAAAAGTCAATATATGAACACTCCGCCGCGCCTATGGTTATATCAGTCGACGTATGTACACTCTACTGCGCCTATGGTTATATCAGTCGACGTATGTACACTCTACTGCGCCTATGGTTATATCAGTCGACGTATGTACACTCTACTGCGCCTATGGAGCAAAATAATAACTACTTTTGTCTGCAGATATGTATATATATATATATATATATATATATACATATATATATATATATATATATATATATATATATATATATATATATATATATATATATATATATACTATATATATATATATATATATATATATATACATATATATATATATATATATATATATATATTTATATATATATATATATATATATATATATATATATATATATATATATATATATATATATATATATATATATATATATATATATATATATATATAATATAAATATATATATGAGAGAGAGAGAGAGTAAAATCCTTCATTACTGATTCGAAGGAATCTATTCCTTAGTGTTCTAATTTTGATTCTCAAAGCCTAAAATTAAGAAATAAATGTCAATGAAATCGTTCGTATTAATAAAAGTAGTGTACATTCAATACATCATGAAAAGTACAATTTTAAGAACAAAGTTTAAAACATCTTAAAATTGATTGTCATTTTTTATAAATACATGAAATAAATTATACTAAAAATTTGATTCAATAAATTAAAAAAGTAAAAAAAAAATTTACAAATTATTTCTTTAGTGTATTTCTAAAAGACCAAATATGACTCTGACGTGCAAAATAAAAAATAAAATTAAAAAATTTCACTAGATAAAATCTACAAACTTTTTTGTATTTAAAAAAATCTAAAGATTATTTTTGGGATTTAGTTCCTGTATTTTCATATTTTTTATAACAAAATTTAACATTTAGAGCCCTAAAAATTGGTTTAGAACAAACCTTTGGATATTTACTAAACAGAATTAAGAAAAAAGTGTTTAATTAGCTCCAAATTATTTGATTGACATCCCCTGAATAGCATTTAAAGTACTTTTTGAAACTGTAGCATGACTTTGAGTATAACTAGCCATTTTAAGACTTGAAGGTTCTTGTTGAGATAACTTTTTAACCCCAGTGCGAGTAACGTTTTGTTGATTTTCTGCTTTGGCAGGTGAAGAACCTTGACGTGACATCTAAAATAAAAATCTTAATAAAAAAACGCAATAAAAAAAGGTGAGTAGATTTTAATATACAAACAAAAAAATATCAAAAGAGCAGATACAAAAAAGCGAGATATAAAAAGAGGAGATTTAAAAAAAAGTTAATATTACAAATTGAGATACAAAGAAGTTAATATTACAAATTGAGATACAAAGAAGTTAATATTACAAATTGAGATACAAAAAAAGTTAATATTACAAATTGAGATACAAAAAAGGATACAAAAGGAGAAAACCATATATTAAAAAAAAAAAAAAAAAAATCAGATTCCCCGTCTGGTTACAAAGGATTTATGATAAAAACATAAAACTTTAAGTACCAAAGTTTATTAACTAAAATTGAAATTTAACTACAGTTAAATAGAAAAAAACCAATTACAATAAAGAAATAATTTAACTTTAAGTTTATAATACTAAAATATTACAATAAATAATTACAATAAAGAATTTACAAGTTCATAATAAATTATAAGTTCATAATAATAATTAAATAAGAAAAAAAAAAACTACAGTAAAAAAAATAATTTAACTTAGCGCTTCAAAGTTACCCTGAAGGTAAATTAAGACCTTATATCTTAGTCGATGAAATTTTTTTTTGATTTTGAAAGTAGTCTATTTTCACATTCCAAAACTATCAAAATTTAAATCATTTGTTGGTAGCTTTTTGAGAAAAAGTACCTGTAAGACTTGCAGAATAAATAAAGGACCCCCTCTAACCCACCTTTTGACCAAATATATATATATATATATATATATATATATATATATATATATATATATATATATATATATATATATATATATATATATATATACACAGTATCGGACAAAACAAGTGCAACCAAATAATGCTAACTTCGTTTCTTTATATAAAAGTGCTGCATTTTTTCAATTTAGAGAAATAACTATGTAACTGTTTAGAGACAACATTCTTCAAGTTTTATTTATCAAAAAGTTCATTATTTGTACACAAAAATTAATAAATTAATCAAAAGTATTAAAAAAAGTTGATTTCCTTCTGAACAAAACAAGTGCAACTCCACAAAATGTTGACCAAGCTGTATTTCGCTATCAATATTTCGTGGTGAATCCTTTGTTGTTGATTACAGCCTTGCATCTTCGAGGCATAGATTCGATCAGGTGATCAATGAAACTTTGTAGAATCGCTGCCCAGGCCTTTTGGATTTGTTCAAACAGTTGATCCTTATTATGAATACCTTTGCAATTAATTCTGTGGTTGACGATCTCCCACAGGTTCTCGATAGGGTTGAGATCCGGAGATTAAAACAGTCCATTATTCCATCCATTTGATGTATTGGCCCTAGACCGTTTGCAGAAAAACACTCCCAGACCATTACATTGCCTCCACCATGCTTCATGGTCTTATGGCAGTAATGTAAATCGAGGCGTTTTTTCGGCCGGTCGATGTACACAGCAAATGCCATTGCTCCCAATGATGTTGAAGTTCAATTCATCACTGAACAGGACAGTTTGCCATTTCTGCACATTCCAGTCAATATGAGATGGAGCAAAGATGGAGCAGTCTTTTCTTCTGGTTCTTTAGTGAAATTAGCTGTTTTTTTGCATGGCGTGAAGAAAAAAATCCGGCTTCAACAGCACGTCGTCTGATTGTTCGATCCGATACAGGCAGCTCTAATTGCTTTTGTATCTCGACTGATGATATCCAGGGATCATTCTTGACGGATCTGATGATCTTAGAACCCTCTCTAGAAGTGGTGGAACGCGGCCTTCAACCTTCGTTATCTGCTGCCAACTTCTCCGTAGAACAATATTTGGAACATAGTCTTGATACGGTCCATTTTTTCACGCAATATTTATCACAAATATTTTTTTGTGACATTACATTTACGTAATCGCCAATAATTTTCTTTCTTAGTTCCAATCCAAGACTGTCGGGAGCCATTTTTGCACTTGAAGTCATAAAAATAATAAAAATAAATAATCACGCTTCTCTAGACTTACCGTGTTACATTTACCTTGTGATGATACAATAATGCTCTGTGGAATACAACATCTTGGTTGGATATGGACTGTATTGATGTAATGAAACACTTGTTGTATTTCACTTCTTGTATTGATGTTCTTCGATAAAAAATATATATTTGATTAAACTCACTTCGATAAACTGTCTTGATAATACTGACTGATTGACTTCCATATACTGACTGAATTAAATGTCGGTTTACATGTCTCTTATATAGTAAAATGAACCTGTGTGAACCTGTTCTGGAAAATTCTAGATGCTTCTTTTCGATGCTTCTGGATGCGTCTGGATGCTTTTGAATGTTTCTGGATACTTCTGGATGCTTGTGGATGCTACCAGATGCTTCTTCTGGAAACTTCTGGAACCTTCTGCACACTTTTAGAAACTTCTGGAAACTTCTGGATACTTCCTTTAATTATCAAAAATTTCTGTGACGTTGACACGGACCAGACTTAAGAAAATGAAACATACCAAAAAAGTTGCAGTTGTTTTGTATGCTGCAAAATGGCACTTGTCAGAAAAATTCTGCCTATGTGCTGCCACATGTCAGCTGATTCCTCATGACATGGCATGCGATGACTCCAGACTCCTGAACTGTTTGCTGTGGTAGTATAGTTCGTTTCATTTTTAAGACATGTAAAATTAGGAACACTTTTTAGCATTGTTCGATGTTGGTTGCAAATGTTTTGTCCAATACTGTATATATATATATATATATATATATATATATATATATATATATATATATATATATATATATATATATATATATATATATATATATATATATATATATATATATATATTAATTATCTTCGCTTCCAACAAGGCTACAAGCAACCACTAATTAGTGTTGGAAGTTACTCAGTAACTTCCAACACTAATTAGTAATGAAGATTGTAGAGCAAGATAACGAAGACAGACGACTTAAAAGATTGCAAAGTGTATTAATCAGGAAAGCAAGATGAAGGAAGCGAATTCCAAAAAACTGATGTTCGAGGAAAAAAACTAGACGAATAAGAGTTTTTGGAGCACTTAGGAACAGTAACAGAAAAAGGATGACACTTAATTGAATGACGAGTAACACGAGAATGAATTTTAGTAGATGGCACAAGAGAGGCTAGCTCTTTCGAGCAGTGGTTTCGAGCAGTTTCCTAAACTGGAAACAATGTATTAAAAATACATCTGCGCCAGCCTAATAGATGAAGAAGGGGTGCAAGGCTGGTCAACAGATAGAATCTGTTTGCCCCTTAAGTCTTTGCCTAGGAGGCCTTCTACAAGACAGCGGCCGGATGCATTTAACATCTGCCCAAGATGAGTATTTTTATCGAGACACCATCTCTAGCCTTTACTTAACCAAGAGCCCCAAGGCAGGGGGGTTGTTTTATGTCGGAGTTTGCATCTCCTAGCCTTTGCCTAAAAAGGCATATCCTACAAGACAGCAGGACATGAAGCAGATTGTACTGGGTTACATGTTACCAGTAGCAGGATAAACCTGACCTGACATTAATTATTGCTCATCTAAATTTGCAATAATATGATGTCATATTGCTTATCTAAATTTGCAAAAGTATTTGTGCATACAAGTGGTTTATTAATACTCTTTTTTTGTGCATACAAGTGGTTTATTAATAATTTGTGCATACAAGTGGTTTATTAATACTCTTTATGCTTGGTACAGCATTCAGTCTTCAAAAAACAAGAGAGCTTTTTGTATATATATATATATATATATATATATATATATATATATATATATATATATATATATATATATATATATATATATATATATATATATATATATACAATATATATATATATATATATATATATATATATATATATATAATATATATATATATATATATATATATATATATATATATATATATATATATATATATATATATATATATATATATATATATATATATACATATATATATATATATATATATATATATATATATATATACAATATATATATATATATATATATATATATATATATATATATATATATATATATATATATATATATATATATATATATATATATATATATATATATATATACAACTCTCGGAATTAGGAAAAACAAAGGTCTCACCATAAAACATAGAAACGAGGTCGGCATTTATTTGCCGATCTCAAACACTTTATGGTTGGCAGTTAGAATGCTGACCCTAATTCCAAGGGTTGTATATATATTTATCTACTATAGCATATTTATATGCGCAATTGCTCACTTTTTTTGCTAGCCTAAATTAAGTGAGCATTTTTAGAAAACGATGAGGGAAAACGAAGAATAATGAATGAAAATGTTGCTGACCCATACCAAACCCTCAGTCGATGTAGCAGCACTCCACGGCGAGTCAGGCTATTTGTCAGTCGATGTATGTACTGAAGCCCCCGGCAGCAGGCTATTTGACATTAGGTGAGTATGACATCATCATACTCACCTAACTCAGCAGTATAAGATATATATATATATATATATATATATTTATATATATACTTATTTATATATATATTTATGTATGTATATATATATATATATATATATATATAATATATATATATATATATATATATATATATATAAAGTTCAACAAATTCAATCATGAAAAAAGAGTGAAATGATGAACTTGCAAAATTTAACCTGCTTGACAAGCCATTTCGATTCATTAAATAGTTTTAAGAGTATAGACAACAGCTTCAGAGAACTCTTCTGCAAGACTATAACAGGGATGTTGTCCAGACCACAAACTGTAGAAAAGTCTATGCAGGAAATCACTTTAGATACAGAAGCTGGAGTGATACGATGGTCAGGCAATCGATTAACCTGTTTGCCAGCTATATCAGATAGAACGCGACTAGTGAAATCAAGAGATAATATTGATGAGAAGTTCTTAGCAAACAATTCAAGAGGTGGAATAACAGATTTGCCCTTATTATAAATACT